TTCGTATTTTAGCCTTTTCCTCGTATTCCTCGTATTTCCCTTACATACACTTGGCGTTCAGTGCACCAGCAGCGTTGCAAAGAATTTTCAAAAACCATAGGCAATTTCAGGATATCCCAAACTTTTTTTGCTAATTCTACGGAGGTTTTGTTGGATTCTAAAAATTTAATTTAGCAATTTTTTGTAGCGGTAATCCAAAGCAGCGTTTCATCGTTTTCTAAGATTGCTGCAACTCAGCTTGATTGAATCACATATTTGGCCTTTGCCTATTGAAAGCAGTTTGGTTTTCTTGAACTCATTTCGAAATTGAATTTGAGCAATTTTTGCACAATCCCAACCAAAATTCGTATTTCGCGGCTGCACTCCTATCTTTTAGTACTTTTTAAGGGCAGTATCTACATTCATAGCTCCAGCTGTTTGCTTGTTTCAGCTATTGTTTTGCTTGCTATTTTGATATATCTTGGAAATATTAAACACTTGTTAAATGTTATCTTAATCAAGATAACTGCCTCTTGCTGCACGGTCTAAGTGGTCAGAACTGTGGGCATATAGTCTCAATAATACCACAATACCTTAGTTGAAATCATCATTTCAAGAGAAATTTCTTGTGAAATGCAAGACGTGGCCACGTCTGATCACTGAGAAACGACCTGATAACGAACATTTGATAAAAAAGTTTTGTAGCAAAACTATTGTGCCAAAATTTACGTTAAAGCCTGCTAAAGACAAATACAGTTCAGTGGACTGCAGCGGAACATCAAAAAAAAAAAGACGGTTCCAGATAGTATCACCAAACTGTGAACAAATCAGATGATACTAATGAAGGAAAAGGTGCCATCCTGATTACAGGAAAAAACAACGGCAAAATTTCTTACTCTCGCTAAAATGCTTTCTTTTTATGCTGCAACAGGCGGCAAAAACGCATACTGAGACGACCTTGTCCGTGTGTATGTTCGCCTGCCCGAGCATTTTTGCCCAGCAACTACGCAAGTTTTGGTGCTGGAATTTTGCGAGTGTCAAGTGTGACCACAGGAACGCGACATCAGTTGTCATGCACATCTATGCCTCACAACGGGTAAGCAAAAGTTTTGGCGAGAAAATTGCTAACCCGAAAACGATGGAAAGTACAAATCTGGAATTTAAGGGTATGTTCCCTGCTCATGTACGACCGAATGATTTCGGATTCAGCTCCTTTAGAACCGACTGCTACTCACGTATGGACATGTGAAAGTTTTAGTGGGAAAATTTTCACAATCTCTTGACTAAATCTCGTGCCTTCTGACTCAATTTTTACACTGTGCTCATCACTTCGACACTCTATGTGGATACTTTTGTGCATTCAATTCTGTGCATTCACATCTGCCACTTGCTACTCCACACATGTTACGCCGCTATCATTTAAAATGATTAACTAATCTTTTGTTACTCTGAAAACAGTTATCTGTTCGGTTGTCATGTTTATTCATTGAACAGACTATTGTAATGCCATGCATTGGGTTACTTTAAAGTGAAAAAGATGAAAAAGTACAAGATCTGGGAAAATATACGATCAGTACACAAATTACAAGGGCTGGAAGAAACTAATGTAAAGAAAAATAGCACGAAATCGAATGGATGAAAATCATCGTAATTCATAAAAAAAAAAAAAAAAATTGAAAAAGCTACACACTGTAATACATTGCTTGTGTTTTTTTTTTCCGCGAAATAACACGACAGAGAGGTCAGAACATAATAATTCAGCTTTTTCCAGAAAAAGCAACAAGATTTAGGGGAATCAAAGAAAAATCAATGGTGGATACGACAGTGTAGCGGGAAAATTTTCAACTGTTCATGGTCTTTTTATCTATAATCCAAAATTTTCTATCAAAAATTGATCAAATGTGGCTTTCAAGAACTTTGTTTGAAAAAACCTGTATTCTGGACAAACGATTTTTAACTAACAAACGAAAAGTCGAAATTCTAAAGAAACTAACAGTGAAATAAAAATTATTTTTGCTAAAAACATAAATATGTCTCTTATAAATCAGCCGTAAATTGCTTCAAGAAACATTCACAAACATGCTTTACCCCAAAATTCATCATTTTATCAAATACAAATGTTTTCTGGAATAACCAAATAGAAATAGCCTCCGCACAATGAGCAGTGGCAGGACCAAATTAGGTTTCCTCTTCAATCAGATGAAATAATGAACTCTTCCGTGGCTGCTTCGTCTTCTGCCATAATCGTCTCTGAAAATGAATTAACAGTTTCACGGGAAATCAGCAATATTCAACAAAATATACAACATTGGCTAGGATTTTTTGAATCCCTGAAATTCCTGAAACTTATTTTTTGAACTCCTAAAATTTTATTCTGACCTTCGACCCCTTTGCGGCTCCAACCTGTGCCCTGAGTAGAATGATCTCGCACCATGGTTTGCTTGAAGTTTTGCTAACCTACACTTACAAGTTTGGATTTTTTTTTTCAATTAAAAAACACCAGCACATCCTTGAATTCTGTTGATACAGCTGGATCCAAGCAGGGTTCACAGTAATCACGAAGACAAGATCATCCTACATCTTGATCCTCACATTCAAGACATGCCAACGATTCAAATTATGATGGATGGAAGGCGTATAAGAACAAATTTCGCTTGGATAGTTGGTTTTATTGTTGGCTAAAATTATCAGCAGTTTCCTTAAGTTCTTCAACAACAATGAATTCGGTTCAGCCGAAGAAAGGGACGTTGTTCCCGTAGAACGTCACTGTTCCTGTGGTGTCTCGAGCGCTTTGTTCGACCCATGAAAATCCAAGGGAGGCCATCTGAATTTCGTGTCAGACTGTACCTAAAAAAAACTTACCCATTTCGAGTTGCCCATCGCCTTTTGCATCAATGGATTTGCACTTCTCGTGCTCTTTTTCTTGTTGTTGTTGCTGCTGCTGTTGCCGTTGCTGATCCTTCTGTTCGCCTTTCTGTAAAAAATGACATCAAAAATAAGTAGTTTTTTGAGTGGACAATCTCGACGACAATATTCAAAAAGCTCCGCCATTAGCTTGCTTCTAAGCAATCCTCAGAAGAAAGAACCATCGATATCTTTGCCAGTGGATGGCTGCTAATTCATGCTACTACCGCCTCAACATAAGGGGAAATATGAAGAGATTTATGACTCTTAAATTGACTTTAACTAAATATGAAACCTCAGAATCAGCAGATGCCTCCTTCTGTTTTCCCGATTCGGCAACGTCAAAATCACCCGATGCAACAGAAGCAGCAAGCAACTCGGCAGTTTCCGAATCTATTTCTTCATCATCAGCCATCAAAACGTACACGGTTTCGCCATTCGCACCTTTCAGAGCTTGCACCTGAACTGCTAGTTTCATATAAGAAGGAAAATTCACAGAACGACCGAAATCTTTGCCTTCTATACATTTAACTTTCGAAAGTT